TGGCCCAACACATGCAGCCAAAATGACAGTGCGTTCTATTCGGATGAAGCAGCGAATCACCCTCGGTCGTGACCGGGGGCATGTTTGGGCCCGGCGGTCAGGAACCAGTGAAGACGTCGCTCATGAGAATGGGCCTGTCTCCAAGCCACAACCTTTTGCAAAAGGGAAAATTTGCGAAACATCCCTGAAAGTCCACGTGCATGCTCAAGTACGAGTGTGTACGACTGCTCCTCTGAAAGACTTGAAGAGTCTGTGAAATGCCCTTTTCAATGGAAATGATTGCGATCTACCCCAGTCAGGGTGTTGCGCAAGTTTGTGTTCTGCCCTTGCTAGGGGTAGTAGGGGTATGGCAAAAACTTGGTAACCCCCGGACAGGGGTATATCGCAAAGATTTCAATCCAAAAAAGCATTTCGCAAACTTTGAAATTTCAGAGGGGTATTCTTCTCTACTCACAAGCTCTAGGGGTATCTTAGCAATATACGTGAATTCCAGGGATATTTCGAAAGTTTCCCTTTCTAAAATTATGCAAACACAGTTCAAACAACTCACACCCAGGGCATACTCAGACAAGCACTATGATCTCGAATGCATCTGACCGCAATTACGGCCGGACCTGGACGCACGTCACAGCAATGGCGTCCAGACCTTTCTCGAAACAGTCCTAGTGTGAGTACGCTCTCATAGAGTGCAACAAAGACCCACGCAGGAAAAAGAGACAAACAACAGAAACAATAGCCCCACGTTCCTGGTCATTAGTCAGAGGCCTTTTTTTTTTTTTTTTAATTATTTCATCCTTGCGCAGGGGCCAATGCATCATGCTAATCTTCTCTGTACGGTTCCAATTTTAACAGATGTCCCGAAGGACTAAGAGGCCTTTTTTTTTTTTTTTTTTTTTTTTTTTCCAATCATCGTTCAGGGCCAGGTCCTCTATCCCTTGGGTGGTAAGAGCCCAGAGGATAGAAGCCGGCAAGGTTCCGATGGCTCCTTTCTATTGGTGGGGAGCTGCACCTGCTGGAAACCGGGTTCAGCGTCCCTTCCAATGGATAAATCATCAGGTAAATTCTCGAAGTTCAGAAACTCTCTGCGCTAACAGCACACAATGGGACCTCTTCACCGTAAGGCGTCTGAAATGAATTAGCATCTAGTCCCACTACCCACTGCACCCAGACTTGTCGCCCCCGTCTCTTCTCCAAGGAGGGGCCGGGGGTAGTTGGAAAAAAAAACAAAAAAGAAAAAAATTGAGGTATTCACACAATCTCAGGGAATACTGACACTAGTACTTTTTTCACTTAATTTTTGGACGTCATTGCCGTGACATACATCCAGGTCCGGCCGTAAATACGTTCAGATGCATTCGAGATAGTGACAGTGTGAGTATGCCTTAATTTTTGGACGTCATTGCCGTGACATACATCCAGGTCCGCCCGTAAATACGTTCAGATGCATTCGAGATAGTGATAGTGTGAGTACGCACTTATACTCAGTACTACTCAGTACTACTCAGTAGGGCTTTGGCGTCGACTCAGAGCATACTCGCACAAAAAAAAAAAAAAAAGAGTTTAAATCTGCTTATTTTCGATTAAAAAAAAAACAACCATATCCCTACGAGGCTACGATCTCTTATCGGACAGCATTTACGGCCAGACCTGCATGCATCTGACCTCAATTACGTCGATACACAAGTTAAAAAAAGTCCCCTCAAATAACTTTCAACGACATGGTGTCTATATCTTTCACCATCTTGACCCGAATAGAACGCCCGGTCCTTACGCCTGTATCTCGACCGAAAGCTTCTCCAAATACAGCTAGAATGACCGGGCGTACTATTCGGGTGAAAAAGGTAGGTACCTATAGCGTCCTCAACCTGATTCAGAGTCGTCAGCAGAGAAAAAATATGGCGATCTATCTGGACATAAATACGACTTGGTACGTATATACGAATTTAAACTGCTGCATTTCGGGCACTAACTGCTACGAAAGTCGTCAGCAGAGAAAAAAAAAAAAAACAACGTTCACTATGTTTCCCCGAACAGAAGCCCCCCACCTTCGTCATGACTGTGGGCCTCGCCGCCTCGCTCCACCACTACTCTGAGTACTCTCCACACGCAAAAAAGGCAAAAAATGCCAAAAAAAAAAAA